AAGCGCGGTCGTTGAAGCCTTAACCGGGCGGTTTTCAAACCTGCGGGCGGCGCGGAGTGAGGCCTGAGGGCCGGGTCCGGCCTGCGGGGTCCCCGCGGGGCTGGGCCCGGGATGGGGGCTGCTGGCTGGGGGGTGAAACTGCGCGGTGAGACCTGGTGTCACCCGCCTGGCGGGTTTTGTGCTTGTCCTCGGGTCCGTTGCGGGCGATGAGCCCGCTAGAGGGCACCGGGCGCTGCTGGAAATCTGGGGGAGGCTCCGGAGCTGGGGGAGGCCGGGGGGGGAGCACCCGGGGCGCCGAGATTCCCGAGCTGGGCAGGTGGATCCACAGGTGTGGTTTGGCTTGGTCATGTATACACATAAATAACTAAACCCACACTTATTTTTACTGCCCTTTTTAAACTTAGACTCAAGATCTACACCTCTGTTTCTCTGTAGGACCCATCTGGAACTGCTTGCTTTAAAATCGGCTCTTACCAGGACTTGTGTAAATATGTACATGATACGCTTTATCTCCCGTGTTCCAATAGAATACTTTAACGTCCGCTGTGTTTTCTGGGGAATGAGGATGAGGTTTATGCCTTTAGAAGGTGCCCATAACATTATACTTGCTTTAAGGAGTTAGGAGTTGAAAAACAGTTGGAATGTGAAACACCTGCTTGGTTCTCCAAGCCCATTTTCTTGGGCAATAACAAAATCAGACTTAATTTTATGACATCTCTATGTTGTTATGTTTTGCCTCCACTATTTACTGATGTCTTGTACAGTCACTAAAGCAAAGTAGTTCAAATAGAATTGAAGGAAGGCTCCCTTTAATGTATTAAGTCAAATTAATCTCTCTTAATAGTTGTTCTGAAGAGAGATTTTTCATTTTGGTTGTCCCCTCAGTAAAGCTTTTACCTTTTCCTGCCTCTGTTCTCCTGGCCTTTCTGCCATAGGGAATACTGGGACATCTTGAGTTTTGTTTTTTACTTCTCAGAGTAGTGAATGGAGTGACTCACATTTTTCCAGTACTCATGTTGTAGATGTTGGTTGGAGCAGAATGGTGAGAACGGTGGCCCTAAGAGCAAAGGAACAGCCTGTGACTTGAACTATCAGTGTTGATTATCCAATGGCTTTTGTCATGTAAAAGCCATAATTGAGTCTCCTTTATCTCCTTGGCCTTCTGCCTCCCTGAGGGACTTCTGAGATGAAGATGTGGGATTATTATTGCTGAGTTTGTTCTGCTGCTTACATGGATGAGAGATGTAGATTTAGCTATTACTGTGATAAAAGTGCATTTGCAAAGAAGGATTTTTTAACTGCCTTTTAATTCAGCTGTAGAGAACAATTTTGTCATTTAAGTTGGAACTCTATAATTTGAGTTATTTTAGAGTTATATTTGAGGGCATTTTTGCCCACACATTTCTATCATCTGATTGACATTTTCAAATAGGGGGTGTTTCTTAAAATTAGTGTTTTTACAGGATAGTGATAACAAAGGCAAGATAATTCTGCAGGAAAGTAATACTGAATACAAAGAAATTAATTCCTATATATTTAAACACTTAGTTCATAATTTATTCTTCAGATCCATATGGCTTCTTTGTTGAAATCAAGGGTAAATAGTGTAGAGCTCTCCCTTTGGCTCAAAGGGCATGAATATAGTTGGACACAAGACCTTTTGAGATTTTTCTGGGCATCCTCTCCTTTTGTAGTCATTGGTATTGAAGGCATAGTATAATTTCAATGTTTAACCCCATTTTGTGACTTAATTAAAGGAAAAAAAATCAGAAAGAAATGTGCTGTGGTGCTGTGTTCAAGGATGGTTCTAATAAAGATTCCCTAAATAAAAGTGGGAATTTATTTATCTGCAATGGTGTGCAAATATCATGAACCCTTGCTTCTTATTACATATCTTAATGTTTGTTTTTTTTTCTTTCTAAATAGTTAATTAAGGGTAGTAATAGATGTTGCTTCATTTGCTACCATTTTCAGAGGTCAGCTTGCTGAGATCTGCCTTTTAACACATCCAAAAAACCCAGCTAAAAGCAGATACCATTAACTCTGAACCTTTTTGACTTGCCTGTTTCAGGTGATGCTGTGAGCACATGAATAGTGTGAGAAGACTCTTGTCTGCCTCTGTAATTTCTGTCCAGAACTCCTGCTTCATCTATCCTGCCTGTCAAAAATGCTTTTCTAGGCTGATACTGGATTCTAGGAGGTACGTCCTGGTTTGGGGGGATCATTAACTGTGAATGTCAGAGGCCTTGGGAATCTCTGTGAGCTGAACACAAGTTGAAACAAATTGGTGACTATCCAGCCATCATAGAAATAAGTGCTCATTTCAGATATTAATGTTACTTGTCTCTACTTGGCTCTTTTTGTATTCCAGCAGCAGCTTGTAGATTGTTATGGATCAAGAGTTTTGTAGTGTTCAGTGCCATGCAGTATGGAAGGACAGTCTAGGAGAATAAATGATGTGTGGTAATAGCTTCCAAGAGCATCCCCTGCAGTCCAGTTCTTCAGTCCCTTTCCTAAGTTGCAAAGCATTGGTTGAAAGCCTCTTCAGAGCAAATCCTGTTGTGTTTTGGGTTTTTTTTTTAATTGCTTCTTGTTCTATATGCATAATATATCAGGTAGTCCTGTATGACTCTTCCACTTACTGTGTGTCCAGAACCTATGAGCTTTCCTTTTTAATCCCAATGCTAGGTGAAATCTGTGACACCAAGAGAAACTTAAATCAATGAAGATCAGCATTAAATGGAAGAAGCTGGCTTTGTAAAGCAAGAATATCAGTTGTTTCAAATGCTGAAGTAAAAGATAACAGTGCTGTTTACTGATGATTTTTTAAATCTATATATTGTTCTACAGCTACAGGAAGAAAAATCCCAAATGAGAATGAAATGAAAAAACTGGGGGTGCAGGAAATTCAGAATTGCTCCCCAACATTCAAAGCCCACTGTCTCTCTCCAACTTCAAACAGGCTAGCATTTAATAACTCAATAAAAGATTAAGCCTCTGATAAGATTAATGCCTCAAGAACTGAAGAATAAGAAATAATCTTTCAGTGTGTAATGGAATATTTGATACATTATAGTAGTAAGACTTTGGGCTGCAGAGGAGTTCTTACTTTAGCAGTGATTAACAGAAGTTCATGTATTCAGCCTTTTTTATCCTTTTGTTGTCTTGTCAGGTTTAACTGTCTAAAATGTGGCTGCACAGGTGAAGCTAAAGATGCCAGCTACAGATACAGATTGTCCCTAAAAATTGCTGACACTAATGATTTGTTTGAAATTACCGTGTTTGGAAGCTGCTTAGATCCATTCTTTGGTGTCACTGCAGAAAATCTGCAGAGGTAAGGGATGAATTGTTTCTAACTGCACAGCTGTGCTTTTTCTTCAGTCTTAAAAAATTGAGATGAGCTTGGATGGTAGGGAGACAAGTGGGAAGAAGGTGGTCAGTGCTCCCTTCCAGCAATTTTTGGGTACCCATCATCACCTGGAGAAAATGCTAAAGTTTGGTTTCTTCCTGAAACACTGAAATTTTGAGAGGGATTATCTCTGTGTAAGGGATCCTCCATTTGGCTATTGAAGGCAGCTGCCACCTGCTCAGTGAGCTTCGCTGGCTGGCTGGGCTTCTTCCTTGCATCCTTCTTCCTTTATTTGAGACCATTCATCTTCTTTGTCTAATGGCAAATTACTAAGTAATTTGCTTTTCCAAAGATTTAGACACAATTTTCCGTCAAGATTTTAGAAGAGTCTTAAGATAGAGTCTCTATTGGGTTATTTTAACAGTTTGGATTTGGAGGGGAAAAAAAAAAAAAGTGTGCTCCTTATGATTTTAATTCAATATGCCCAGATTCTCCTTTAGCAGGGAGGATTTCTATGAAAGCCTGTTAGTCCTCAGAGCCTGATCACTTATTTTATAAGCTTCAAACATTCTGGTACATGAAACAGCTAAGGGTGGGATATTGGGATGCATTCACTGCTTGTTTATCTATTCTGGTGTTTTCCTTGTGTTGTCACTGGATCAAAGATGAAGCCTTTTAAAATCCCATATTAGCAGCATTAGTAACAGTCTCATCACATTCTACACTAGACTGCTGTGATACTGTCAGCTGTAGAAAACAGTGTTCTTTGCATGTCTTAATCTGGATGCTGCTGTTGCTGTACAGGTGTGGGCAGAAGGGGTGTGTAAGCAAAAACAGCACATTGGCAGCACTGTACAGGCACTGCGTTGATGCAAAAAGTCACAGCCACACAGGGAACACACAAAAGTTGTGTATTAAACCTATTCAGAGTAGTTGTTCTGTTTGCTTCTATTTCACTAACAAAATAAGTGAAGTAAACATTTATAGTTTCATGGTTTCCTGTTTTCAATCTACGTTAAGTTTAAGCTGCCACAGTATCTTTAGCACCTGTCCTGCCTATACTGCTGGAGAGCAGTGTAAGAGAAAGGGACCTGGGGCTCCTGGTGGACAGGAGGGTGACCATGAGCCAGCAATGTGCCCTTGTAGCCAAGAAGGCCACTGGCATCCTGGGGTGTATTAGAAAGGCTGTGGTTAGTAGGTCAAGGGATGTTCCCCTCCCCCTCTATTCTGCCTTGGTGAGGCCACATCTGGAATCTTGTGTCCAGTTCAAGAAGGACAGGGAACTACTTGAAAGAGTCCAGGGCAGAGCCACAAAGATGATGAAGGCAATGGAACATCTCCCTGATGAGGAAAGGCTGAGGGAGCTGGGTCTCTTGAGCTTGGAGAAAACGAGACTGAGGGACAACCTCATCAATGTTTACAAATATGTTAAGGGTGAGTGTCAGGAGGATGGAGCCAGGCTTTTTGCAGTGATGTCCAGTGATAGGACAAGGGGCAATGGGTGCAAACTGGAACACAGGAGGTTCTATGTAAATATCAGAAAAAACTTCTTTCGTGTGAGAGTGACAGAGCCCTGGGACAGGCTGCCCAGGGAGGCTGTGGAGTCTCCTTCTCTGGAGACATTCAAAACCTGCCTGGATGTCTTTCTGTGTGATGTGGGTGATCACACACCCTTCCTGGGTGATCCTGCTCTGGCAGGGGGTTTGGACTAGATGATCTTTCCAGGTCCCTTCCAACCCTTAAGGTTCTGTGATTCTGTGATACTGCGGGTAGAGTGCTATTCATGCTTCTGTTGGTGCAATACTTCTGTATGTCTTTGCTCAAGGTATATTCAAGAGTTCAACCAGCTATCAGGAGAAACAAGCACTGATGCATCTCCAGGAGTATTAGTTCAAGCAGTGGAAGCCTGTTTCATTGGAAAAAGATTTATTTTTGGAGTTAAGGTAACTTTTAATCCACATTACTCTCTTATAATGAGTTTTTTCATTAGCTTGTAACCACTTGGGGGCACTGACTGGGTTGTCAAAGCATCATGTGCAATATCTTTGGGGAATTAGAGAAAATTTAGGCCTAGGACATGGGAAGGATTCTTCTCCTCTTCCCCAGACTCCTGTGTTATTTTAAATGAGTCACATCCAGAAGTCATCTTGAAAGGCAGTAGTTAGCTTAACAGCTTGTCAGGGTTGCATTTCAGAGAGCCTGAGCAGTGCCAGCTCCTGTGCATATCAGTAACAGCTTGGAGTCTGCAAAAAACCATGTACAGTAGAAGCAAGAAACAGACTGTCACTCTGAGCACTGCCCTGCCTTTTCCATGCTGCAGTCTCTTGGTGTCTGAAACCTAAGGAGAAACACATCCCTTTGCAGCATTTTTATATTTCTCGGTTTAAGAGCATGTTTAAAAATGTTGATAAAGTACAGCTGTTTAACATAGGCATCTGTGGCTCTTTTATAGGTTTAACAAACTTTGAAATATTAGTTCCTAGTAATACTTCCATAGAAACAGTCTCCTAAGTTCTCTTCAAGTGGTGCTTGTGTGAGTCATTCATATCATGAAGTCTGTGAACTAAATCCTACCTGGCAGGTGTTTTTCCGCTCCCACAGGTACCATGAGGTTTGTATCTGAGCCGAGATTTTCCTAATGCACAGCATCTTAAATAATGCAAGTTAGAAGACTTCATGGATTACCTTCACTTAACTGGAACCATTCACTAGGTCCCTGGGTCTGATGCCTTTACAAATAAAAGTAATCCTACACATGCACAGCCTTGTTTGCTGCTCCTGCACACACAAGGACTGAACACACATTTAAAGACCATTTGTTCAGCCTTTGGCTGTTGATGTTTCTGTGTGGTTGTGATCAGCTCTGCATACAGTTGCACTCTCCCAGATAAAGCTCAGAATCAGCATAACATTACCTAGAAGAGTATTGTCCTTGGCTCACAGCCTTCAGCCTCAACCTTTGTATAGACCCAGGGATTAGGAAGATTTGAATATGAAGATGGATACATTTGCTTTTTCACCTCTCTGGCACTGCCACACCTCAAGGGGCAGGTGAATAAGGGTTTATCCACTTCTCAAAACATTATATAATTCCCTCTGCTTTTACTGTCATTTTCCACTTGTAATTTTTGCATAGAGTTCTATGGGCTCTATAAAGAATTGCAGCTGAAGCTCCTTTAAAACACTACTCTCCAGATACATCTGAGAAGATAAAGGTTGTAGCTTATTTCCCTTTAACAGAGGTAGCACAGATTAAATATCATGCTGGCTGTGATAGCTGAGCTGCCAAGTCAGGTGGCTGGTACCCGGAGTGCTTTGCTTCAAGTACTGCCCTGTGCCTCCTGGATAAAAGACTGGCCTCAGGCAGCCAGCCCTTGGCACAGAACTGCACCAGGGGAAGCCCGGAAGCACCCAGGGCCCTCAAGGGTGGAAGAAACCTTCTGTGAAGGTCCTTTCTTAGAATTCTTGGTGGTTTTTCCAGCTCCAAAACTCTTCGTAATTGCAACAAGCAAAGAACCTCTTGCTGTGATGCCTTTTATAGCCCTTGCCAGTATTTATTTCCCAGGGAGTACTGCTTTGTGTGACAGACTGTTTTGTGTTCTCTTCTCTGCAAAAAGTGAGACCTAAATTTAATCCTGACTTAAAAGACATGCATTAATTTTTTATAATTTTTTTTTAATCACAAAATAAAACATTGTACAAAGTTGTTTTTTTCTGTTTCCCCCAGGGTTGTGAAAGTGAAGATGGAGGGCATTCTGCTGGTAGCAACATCTTGCAAAACTGTTCCAGAATTAATAGAAGTACAAAAAACCTTATAGCTTGCCAGATCTTCCTGCCAAATGCTGCTGTTACTGGCTTTACAGTTATCAGCTACTTCCATCAGCTTCTGCAGTCAGCAAAATTCAGGGGCTGTAATAACAGCTCATACTTACCTGATGCATCTTCTGCTCCAGGAGATGAACCTGTCAGTGAGCTCAGTAGCTTGTTTAGCCTGAGCAGAAACTCCTGTTTTCTTCAGTCAAGTGGCAGAGAAAGTTTTTTAGGGTCCTGGCAGCATTCCTTCAGCACAGCTTCTTCTGTTGCTTGGGTAACAGCAGAGGACTTTCCCACTCTGGAAGACTTTCCCACTCTGGAAGAGGGTAGGCTGGTGAGTGAACAGCATGAAGAAGAGGGAAGGTCTGTCTCTGCAGAATCATGCAGTGTGAGCCTCAACAATCAAACTCTTTGGGATTCACCATTTTGCAGCTCTTCTGTGAAGGAAGGGGATAAAGAGGAGGATAATGAATGGAGTTCGCAGCCTAGTCAGGCCGACAGTATCTCTGCAACTGCTAAATTAGAGAGAGTGTCCTGTTCAAAGACTGAGTGTTCACATGGAAACAGTTCCAGGTTGTTACAGCATCCCTTGGAATTTGAAGTAAAAAGCATTTACCCAAAGTCTAATAGCAGAAATTATTCTTACCTAGAAAAATCCCACAATTCCCTTCTTTGCAAGAGAGATGCCTCAGCTTCTAAGCTTATAAATGCAGCTGGAGTGTCTCAGACAGATTCTGTGCTGTGGGATGAGCTCCCGTTCTCAGAAAGCCTAAATGAATTTCTAGCCAGATTAGAAGACTGCAAGAGTGTTGTAACATCACCCAGCCTTGATGTAGGCAAACATGCCCTTCTAGAAAGTAGCAGGTTGGGTGGAAATCCTAACAAATCGTGCCCCAGGCAAACTCTAGTAGCTGGTGATTTGCCTGAAGCAAGAGTCTCAGGGAGGTTCCTACCACCAGCAGAGAACAATAGCTGGGAGAATGTATTGTTTGCTTGTCTTCAGTCGAATGCAAATCCTCCAAGTGATGAGATCTCACAGTGCAAGTCTTCCTCTAGTGTTTTATCTTCAACTGACAAGGAATGTGGAGCATCTTGCTTCATACCTAACCCTCCTCTACCTATTCTGTCACAATCCTTGCCAGTTACACCAGAGTCTTCTGTTTCTGAGAGAACGTACGTGCAGTCCCAAGAAGCAAATACTGACATTTCTAAGTCAGCCTGGTCTTTTATCAGCCTGCAGCATACTGTTGAACACAGGGAAACCTCCTATTTAGAAGAGAACAAGACAGCTGCTGCTTGTGTGTGTTCTGCACATGATAGCTGTTTAGCTGGTTGTGAAAATAAAGAAAATTCTACATCAAGCCAAAGAGCAGATCTTGCATTCACAGGGACATGGGATCCAGCAACTCCCAACAATACAACAAGGATATTTAAAAGAGGATTAAAACCATTGACAGAGCTGTCAGAAAATACCTTCAAAAGCATTATTAGGAGAGAGATGCTGTGGAACAATACCTGCCTTGAAGGCAGCTACAATGCTTCTGCTGATCTCTTTGATGCAAGTACAAGAGAGGTAGCAAAACCTGTAGAATTCGTAAATAAATCATGTAATTCTTTAATACAGGAAGATACTTTGACAGAAAAGTTCACAGCTCCTGAACTGGTGCTTTATCCAGGAGATGTTCCCTGTAAGAGTTCAAAACCAAGGTCATCCCTGCATAGGTCCCCACCTGCTTTTAGTCAGCACAGTACCCCAGTGACTTCCTCCTGTTGTGACTCAGAATGCAGTTCAGTTAATGCTCAAGACTTCATTCCTTATTCACAGTCAACTCCTATGAGAAAACCTCTCCAGAAACCATGGCCTGTTGGGGAAAGAAGCTCTTTTCTCCCTGTCTTCACCCCTAAAAATCCCACTAAAATCCAGTCCAAACACAAGCGATCCAGGTCTTCCTTCCAGAACACACTGTTGCAGCAGCTCACGGGTAGGGTAGTGAAACGTGAAAGGCCAAGTAACAGGGAAGACAAAGGCAGTAACATCTGTGTTGCACAGCAGTCCCTGAACAGCCCTCTGCCTGCCAACATTGAGGAGTGGATCCCTGCATCTGCAAACAAAAGGTTGAAACCAACTGCACCTTTAAACTTGAAAACAGTTAGCTGGGCTGCTGACTTGCCATCAACCCTTGGGGACACTGGCAGGAACCCTGTTTCTGAAAGCAAAGAGAACAGTAAAAATGATGTACACTTCAGAAGTGTGAGATTAAACCCTGGGGATACAACCAAGATTCTGGCAACTCCTGTATCTGCAGGTACCACCAAAGCCTTGTTTTTAAATGATACAATCCTGGAAACATGTTCCCCTTCCGAAGGCAAGAATCTCCTCTCAAGTGCAAATTATTCAGGGGGTATGTTGGAAGGGGCAACTGGCTGGTCTCCTGAGCTGTTCTTCCAAGCACAGACCTCTTTTTCCAGTAAGCCAAAATACTAAAAAAAGACATTTCTATGCTGTGTTGTTTTTAATAATTGTTAAGACTTTTGGGAAGGAGTCAATAGAAGAAAAGAGCTATTTAACAATTAAATTGTTTGTACACCTATTGGAATATGTTGATGAGTTGGTTTGTTTGCAGATCTTTGTACCACAGCGATGGGGGAAAGCAGAATTTGCAGCTACTATATTTTATTGTAAATTGACTCTAGAACATGCAATAAAAACTTGTAAATGTGGGATTATTTAATAGATCTCACTTTATAGGAAGGTGTTTTAGCCTTCAGTGTTGTCTTGTCCTCACAAGAAGAGCCCCTACAATCCATGTCCACTCCAGATCCTTACCTCTTTGGAGAATGGTCAAGTTTGCATCAATTTCAAATACTATGTGGAAGCCTCATGTTTAAGCTCCCTTGGGATGTTGGGAAAGAGTTGAGTTGGGTCGGGTGACTATCCTGAGAGACTAATAATAAGCTCCCAGTTCTCCTGTAGGATATTCCAAGATTGCTACTGGGAGATTCCTGGCAGTGTCTGTTTTCTTTGTTGCTTTGAGGTCTTCCATATTCTGCCCCTGAACAGCTGCATATAGGATCACTGAATAGAGAAATCTTGGAGCTACTGCTGCAAGCTTGTTGGTCAGGTCCTGCAGAAGGATGTGGGAACAGGATGGTTGATCAGGTTCTGCAGAAGGATGTGGGAACAGGATGGTTGGTCAGGCCCTGCAGAAGGATGTAGGAACACGATGTGATGATACAGGATCACATCTGCCTGAAAATGCTGACTTGCAGAACCAGAAGTGGGTCTAAAATTATCAGGTGTGATTTTTTTTGAAATTATTTTTTAGGCATAGAATGAATCTGCACTGCTTACATCATGACAAAGAGACTTTCCTTGGTTCATTCTCTTCTACAAGACAGACATTACTACACTTCAGTGTTTGAGGCCTCACTTTAATACACCTATTTAAGCCCCAGACTGTGTTCAGAAGAGTTTTGTGTCTGCATGCAAGGATCAAACTGTCTATACTGACAGCTGAAGCTCTTGCCTTGCAGGTGATAAGGACACCACCTCCCTTTTAGCAAATCTAAGAGGGAGAAGTTGCTGGGAGTTAGAAGAGTATTGTGGGACTGTGTAATTTGTGCTTATCTTGTTCCTGTGTATTTATTCCTTGGTCACTGTTGGGATAGGAACTAGAAGGGCTTCTAGAGTGACTCTGAACAGCTTCTCTAACATTAGTTCACTGGGTCTTGCCATAGGTACCTCACTGGGGCAGCTACACATACCAGCAGGACCTGCCAGGACAGCCAATGGAAACCATGTGTGGGATGGATAAAAACAACAGCCCTTTGAACTTGAGCTGTAATTTTTGTGTGCCTTCATATCTCTTCTATAAAACAAATCTTTACCTGCTCTATATTTTCAGGACAGGGAAGTATGAGGGCAGTTACTCTCTCACCACCTTGTCCTTTACCCACTATTTTTAGGATGGATCACCCTTACAGAACATTTGGGTAAACATTTTCAGGTTCTCAGTCTCTACCCTAAGTTCTGCACTTTCTAATCAAATCTGTTTCTCATTGAGGGATAGGAGGAAGAAGAGTATTTGAAATCAAACATGCTTCTTCTGCAGCTGGGTAGGCATTAATGAGATGCAGCCCCTCCTACAGAGGGCACAGCCAGTCTGCACAGGTGAGTTCACTTGACAAAGATTTCTGTTGCAGTCAGCGTTGTTATTTGGAGGGGTTTTTTCACTACTTCCTTCCAACTGAGGACATGAAGGCACAGGTTCAAAGACTCACCCTGCATTAAGAGACTGAAGCCTGGCTCTGGATATCTCTTTCAAGACTCTCACCAGCAAACCATTTTACCTCCTTTCTTTTTACTAATTTCTTTTTCTTTCAGTAAGCTTTCTTACAACTAGCACCAGTGTGTTCTAACTAAGGCTGATAAGAATGGAATGTTTTTCTAACTGCTGGGACTCCAAGGTCACATCTTCACTCTGCCGGCTCAGACACTGCAGGGAGATCTGTGACCCCCCCTGTAGGAGGCTGAGTTAGACAGCAAAACTGGCCAGAGGTATTCCATTCCATGTATCTATGTAAGCTCAGAGGAAGGTCAGAGATCACAGAAGAAACTTCCTTCCTGCTTCTTCCCTTCTCTTCCATCCATGGCTGGCGTCCAGGGAGGACTCCATCCATCCATCACCACCAACCTTCGAGAGCTCGAGCTCTCCTGACCCTCATCACTGTGCTCTCTTCAGCAGCTCCGGGACTTTCTGGGACTGTTCCAGCTCAGAAGATGCTGTGGGAGTTGCTGGGGGTGGGGGGAGGCAATGGGTTTGCACATATCTGAATATATTTGTATATAATTGTACATATTTTCTTATATCATTAGTGTTTAATTAAAGCTGTGTCAATTAGTTTTCAATCCAGCCAAGTCTCTCTCTTTTTCTGTCTCTCCTTCCCTGCCTGGGTGGGAGGGGGAGGGGATCGAGAGCATTGTTGTCCATCCCAAGTCAAATGGTGACAACAGGGAAGATCGTTTTGAAAGCATTTTAAGACATCAGTGCTGAAACAAATAAAGCTTGAAACTAGTTGTTTCTAGTACAGCCTCCCACATAATACAAGGCTGTAGTATCACAGGCTTTTGAAGCACTCCCTTGTGATGAACTGGACTAACACCCACTTTATCATGGTGGTTAGACCTGATCCAAGTCACCAGAGACTTGATGCAGTAGCAATGAGACACTGCCAGAACTTGTACCTCATACACCTGACAGCATCTTGACATGAAATGTTTTTCCAGCATGAGTGAAGCTGGGGAAAAAAAAAATCCACATACTACAGTAAGTGATAGCTTTTGTGCAAGCTGATGTGATTATAATTACAAGCTTGTACAAAAAGAACAAAGCTCAGCATGTTTAATTCTGAAGGTAATAAAACTCCTGAAAATGCATACCAGGCTTGTGGTTGATTCCCTATGCACAGAAATCCATAAATCAAGACTAGATTTTAAATTAGGACTGTCTGTACAATACCACTGAAATTAATGCAGGACAGTCAGATCTCCTGTGCTTTGTGCAAGAGAACTGCACACAGAGACCAAAAAGTACTGTTGTGTAACAGGCCCCTGTCAGCAAGATGACATCTTCTGGGCAGAGCTCCCCAAGTGCTCAGCAGGGAGACTTTGTGCATGGGAAAATGGAGGAGAGGCAGTAAGATGTCTTAGTTTTGTTCCTTTAGTCTCTCAGTCTTATATTTCTTGCCCTGGGCAGTTTGTTCCCTTTTTGCAGGAAGTTTTCATGTTCCTACAATGCTTTTACCCACAGCAAAGCCTGGCACAGGCTGTGCACTTCCTGCTACACCTGCTGGACAAGGAGAAGGTTGTACATCCCACCAGTTACATGCTCCATGCAAGTAAGAGCTGCCACTCTTCACCTGCCCCTCACCTTTCCCCAGGAAGTGCTTGGTCTGGCTTCTCCAGCCATCAGCCCTACAGGCAACACTCTCCAGCCCTCCTCTCTGTAAGTAAATACTCTGTTCCCAAGTTATCTGGGCTGTAAGAATGGGGTTTTTTCCCCTTCTTTTGCCCAGTTCCTACACAGGAGCATGTAGGGACGTTTTCCTCTCCAAATACCTCTGTTTTATCACTCACAAACTCAAATTGCCAGCTTCCTGGGGAGCACAGAGCAGATGGCCCAGCCCTCATGTCAGACATTTACCAAGGAAGGAGCTTCAAGGTCAGTGAAAGAGGCAATAAAAGACACATGGAGTCTTCAAGCTTCACAGCTCATGTCTCAGCATAAGTGTTGGCAGAAGTCATCTCTGATGTGGAGTAAAACAGGGGCAGAGACCTGATCCCCAGAGTAATTCAGAGCACAAACTTCACTAATGGTCAAAACACTAAAGGCTTAAAATGGAAGATCTTATCCAAAAGGATTCTAGGCCCTTGCAAAGACAGGTCAATGGGGAACTCCAGGGGAGTTTTAAGAGCATGGAAAAAAACAGTTGAAGGCTGCAGAAAAGAACTAGCATTAAAAAGAAACCAACCAAAAAACCAAAACAAACAAACCAAAAACAAACAGGCATTGGGACAAAGAATAGAAGACATAAAATGAAGCATCCAACTATCATCTTGATCCAACACAAACTCAGCATCTTGCTAGAACAAGAGGTTAAGCAGCTACAGGTTTGCAAGGATGGTGAGTGAAGATGGTGACTCTGTCAAAGACCCCCCTCTAGTGCCTGACGCTGGCATTTCTTCGGCATTCAAACTGCTGTCATCTCTCGTTTTGAATAATAATTTTCTCCTCATGCAAAAGGAAATGGACAGCAGGTCTACTTTTGCTCTTCTTGGGAGGTCCCACTGCTGTGAGAGCCTGGGTAGGGTATACTCAACCCAAGTAGAAAAGGCTTCATAGCCATTCATTGGTCTGATCATGTCAGGTCAATCTGTCTTGTACGTGTATTTAAGGCAACTCTGCTTTGCAGTTCAAATAAAAAAACAAACAAATCAAACACTTTAAACACCAAGTGGAAAGGATTAAACATTTATTTACATACAGATACATAGGTAAGCAATTTCTAAGTATAAAAAGGACATTACAAATAAACATGAAGCATCATACATTCATCATCCTGGTCATCCAAAATACATTCCTTTCTCAACCCCACTGTACCACATTTGACCACAAGAACTTAAAAAAGACAAGCCAAATGCTTTTGACAGTCAATGATTCACAGTTTGGTGATTTGCTAACATCTACACCCTTCCCAAAGGCAGCACTACCCCAGCAACTCGAGATCAATGGTCTGACCAGCTGTAGTGCATTTTCTCCACGGAAATGGTTGTGCTTGATCAACAAGAAACACATCCTCTCCTCATTCTTCTGGCCACGTGGAATCAGGGTTCTTGCTAAAATTCTGTACATTGTGCTAAATTGACAATTGTTGGGGAAAAGACTGCAGACCTTTGTGAGAAACACTCCAACCCAGGAAATTCCT